GGGGCTTTGAAGCATGAGGATAATGAAAGCACAAGGCCGGGCCAGTTGTCTGAGATGGGTTCGGGTCAGCAGTCAGAGGTAATCCCAAACTTGAATTTCCCCATCAGCCTGGAATACAGATAAGACAGGAGCAGATATGAGCCGCACTCACTGACTGACTGAGGGACTGATGGAAAAAGGAAATGGAGCAAAAGCCTCTCTCAGATGTAGAGCTGAGATGTGTGTGTCTGAGTGTGTGTATTTTCTTTCAAGAGGTCTGTGAGAGATACTTGAAAACCAGCAGCTTTGTATTGGTCAAAAAATAAGATTGCGACAATATACAGACTAAAACCTTGTTTTGTAACAACCAATCAACTCCAAACCAGGTTAAAATACTGTTGGTTTGTAAGTAAGTGGACTCCATTCTTGCTGGTTGTGTCCATGTCCCTTGAGTCTTCTAGGATTAGAAAGACCATTACAGATACACAACTTTTTAATCAGCGACTCAGGTTTGCCCTCTCGTCCAGCCTGACGTGGATCTGACAGCATGACGGCCAAGTGTGAATGGCAATACCTCATCGTGGATTATGGCGTGGGCTTGATTGTGGTGATATTTAGACACAGAGCTTCCCATGGGAGCCCGGCAGTTTAATTAACATAGCACTAGTGGCCCCCCTCCTGTTTTAATTGCCTCCAGTCTGTGATTAAATGTGTATTGACTCTGCAGTTGGTCCACTAATGAATAACAATGTGCTGATTTGGTGATATTAAATCTTTTGGCTCCAATACACATCCCAGCCACGTTGCTTGAGAAGTTCAGACATCACAGGGAGGCATCTCAGTGCAGCTATATCAGTACGAGGTTTGTCAAAATATAAGACCAGTTAAATGAACGTCACGCTTTACCTTATTAAAGGGCCATGTGTCCATACCAGAATTAAAAAAAGCATAATATAGATGTAAACAAATCAACAATACAGGGATGGAAAAAGCATTATCAAATCACTGCATTTCTGGGGTTCATTGTGATTTTAACACTAAGACACATTTTTACAGTCTTCACAAACAAAGAGAATACTTCAGTGTGGGCTGAGAGAGCACCGCTTTTATTTCATTTCTTGAACGTATGAATTTAGACATAAAAGTGTCACAGTAAGGCAAGAAATCTAAGGACATTTAACTCGGGCTTATTTATCTGTGATTTAAAACAGGATTCTGCACCGTAAGTGAGCATTTTAGGATGAAACTCAGTATACCTCTAAGATGTGCACTGTGCAAATGTGTGAGACAGCATACAAGCTCGTATATAGCTTGTTGAAGTTAACCCCTGCTAACACTGGTGCAGCAGGGATTAACTTCAAGAGCTTAGTTTTGACTCCTTATATTCAAGATTTCTTCAGCTACTTTTCTTTAACTCTTACTCATAAATAAAAAATAGTTTATGTTTAATCATCCACGCTATTTTAAACTGAATATCTCTCAAATTGTACATGACTGGGGCCCACGCTGTGTGTTATAAATCTTGTCCATGAATATGTTTTCTTAGAAATTCACAATCCTTATGACCTACTCTAAGCCATTAAATAATAATAAAAATAGGTTGCAATTCACATTGTTGGTTTTAGCATTTCTGCCTGCTTCTAATGCTGTTCTAAAGTTGGTTTTCCATTTATATACTTTAATTAATTTCTTACTTTATTGGTATAATACATATAATGTTTGTGATTATAAACACCGACAAGTAAAGAGGCGCAGATCTGTTGAGAAAATAAAGGTATATTTTCACAAACTTGTAAACCCTAGTATTATTAACCCTTATCAAATTTTTGGTTAATGGAATAATTAAAGTGGTCATTTATATTGGATGTTCCTTTTGAAAGCAGGAACTGAATGTACTCCAACACTAGATAGCTTATGGTATACTGCTGTCTTTGAATCAATAATAGAACTAAAAGTTATATAAAACAAACCCTTGATAAAGGTTGCCTTAACAGAAGGTGACAACTAAATGTTTTCAACTCAATTGCAATTCTGGTTTAGGTTTTATTCATCCTTAATTAACAGCATAAACCTAGCATTAAGGCAGGAATAGACGGGTTTTAAACAGCCTTAAACAGGTGCCCATGCTCTGTGTCATTTGATCTGTGCATCTCTTGGGATCCCAGTGTCCTCTTCCTCCTCCTGTGGTCTGATAGATAAACTGTCACCTTGTCAGATAAATAAAGGGCAGGAGTCAACACAGGCTCCTTTACCATGACAAGAGAGGAGTATTGAATCTGCCATGGATACAGTCAACATAAAACATATCGAATGGCATTCCTCCCCACATTCCTCTCAGTATCAAAAGGTGCGTATTTGAGGATTTCCTTAGTGCGTTTACGCCTGTGTTTGCGCCCTGACCCACTGAGGCCAGTGCAATAACTCTGGACTCCCTCCCACCTTGCATCTCATTGCAGTGACCACTCTCAGTTTTTATTTAGCTGCCTTGTGTGCCTTCCCAGTCCAGCCGCTTTTCAGATTCATTTCCAGGTAAACACACTGTGGCCAGCCACAAACCTGCGGCCAACAGGCGTTGTCACAGCTGTGGCAGATAATGGCAAGTCCAAACTCCAGCTCGGCTCTGGAATGTTTACTGTCACCACAGGCAAGTTGGCAGCAAACATTTTTTTTTCCAGCACTTTCTAAGAGCAAGACTTTCTTGTTATCAATTTTATTTTGATGTATTACATACTTAACCTTTTGCCCTGTGTCTGTTGTGTGTGTCTTTGTGCACTCAGAAGGATACAAAAGCACAAAAAGAGGAATTCTTGAGTGAATCTTTAAATTTCAGCTGAAAAAAAAAATCCTCACTTTGAAAGCCGAAACTTAAAGTTAACACATTCCCGGCAACAACTCCTGGGTGTTTGAAGGAATGTTCAAGAGATCCGCCTTCCTCTCACAGAGCAGAGAGCACCCTGTTCTCAGCCCCCCTGACCCTGAAAACCCCCGAGACACCCATCAGCATCTGGAGCAGAAGACCAGGCTTATTGGTGTCATTCTCGGGCCTTAATCATGCAGGTGTTTTGCTTTTACTTCTTAACTGACTCTTTAAATCGTCATCATTTAGTGTTTGCTCGAGTAATAATCAGTAAAGGCACGACACCTGGATGTGTTAAATCTAACACATATATTCATGGAGGCTAATTGATCGACAAAGTGACAAAAGCAGCCCAAAAAGAGGGGAGACGAGGGAGAGCATAGAGGTCGATAGACATGATGAGAAAAAGTCGTCCTCAACAGAAGACAGCAAACTGGTTTTCTTTATTTTAGGATACTGATCCTTTTGAGATAAAGTGATCGCACTTCTCCTCAGATTTTTTGACAGGAGCAGTTTTAATGTTGCAGCAGCATGTGGAATAAAAAGGTTCCTATTAATGTTTTTTTTCAGGTGAAAAATCTCACTTGAAGCTAACACATAATGTTGCATTGAATTAAAAGCTGTTATTCATAGCTGTATACTATGTATGAGCAGTTTCTGTGTGTATGTGGTCTGCTCTAAATTGTCACGCTGCTAGTTTTCCACTGAAGAGGTGCACATTACAAGACCACTCATCTTCTTACTCAAAACCTCAGTTAGAGCACTGAAATTCTCAAATAATTTATCATTCAAAATGCGATTACATTTTGAAATGGTGTGGCTTACATGCATTTGCATTTGAGTTTATTTTGGATATGTTTAACTTACATATTCAGTGGACATAATTACATTTATTGTTTTTTTTCATTCAATAAATCTGACTCTAACTGACATGCAACCATGGAGGGTCAGCCAATTAAAGCTGCAACAACAAAAACACAGATATATCCACATGCTATGGGCTTAGGAGATTCCGTACAGCATATCCTGAAGCTGTGTGGTGACTCCGCTGTGCATTTTCAAACTCCCTGCAAACGCATCCACAGATGATGTGATATTTAACACCATCTTTATAATCTCCTAATGCTTGAGGAAGTGTATCTTGACAACAGCAACAAGAAAATAGGGATATAACTGTGGTAATGCTGATTTTTCTGTTCTAGAAAACTGGCCCAATATTTGATGGTTTAATTTTACCTTGACGCTTTTGCAAAATTGTTCTAAAATTTGAATTAAATTTTCAAATTTAACAGCTATGGTTACACATCCACAGTTTGCTATGCCTTGAACACTCCAGTCATGTCAGATTAGCTCTAAATTATGTCCTTTCTAAATCTTATCATTCTTTAGATTTCATATTCTTCATTTGTAAAAGTTTGAGGACAGTCATAGTCTTGGAGTTAAAGGGCACTAACAGATTTAGCTGACAGCAGGATAAAAGAAGGACAACATCTGAAATGTAGGTGATAGAGCAGCAGCAGCTCAAGGCCCAGTTAGAGTTCTTGTTTTTGACTAAAACCAAAAAGTGACCTTCACCCATGTCAGAGGACCGAGACGGGTTGATGATTAACTTTAGAAATTAGCAACATGTCTCATTCAGGAACATAATGTCATGCAGGCCAAGGACCATTTTGGAAGGCTGGGGATGTGGTGTCAGTAATTTTAGAAAGACAAAAAATGTATCTCATTCACCATTATATCAATGATTTTGTTTGAAAATGTTGGGAATATTCATCTGGAGGCTTTACACACTAGCCCAAAAAAGAGTCATGGATCTTCTTTTTTTATACTACTCATGCACACAAATGACCACCTCATGGCTTCTTTTTGTATCACACAAGCATGCAGGTCTGGGCTGTTCAGGCTTATAAGTGTGTCTTTTGTGCAATAAAAATATGTGTGAAAGTATTTTAAGTGCCATACATTTTTTTGAAGTATGCATACATTTATGCATTGCAAATGAATGCATTAAATTATTGTTCTGAGGTCCCAATATCTAAATATGTGTAATTATAACATGAGGTACAGTATTTGACTTTAACCATTATGATTGTATTAGTCCTTTGAATTACTTAAAGAAAAAGCCTAAAAATCTCGTGTTGACTAAGAGAAGCCCGGAAAGCGCAGATTTGACCACCTCCAGCACTCAGCGCTGAAATCCCCAATCCTCAAACACACACAGCTTTTTCTCATGATCTCATTTCCAAGTTAAGCAGACTCTGTTAGTCCCTCGTCAACACGACAGGTTTACTCGCCTTTACTAATGGCCCTCTGTACTGATAGTTATGCTCTTGCGTAAATATGGAGTCAAATAGATGTACCACTACTGACACGTGGCTGGCACCGGACTGCAGCCTCACCTTGATGTTTGTGTCATACAAATACTGTACAGGCTGCGGGGATTAGAGGGCCCCTGCAGACCGGGGCCTGGCCGTCTAACACAACATACCGGTAGATTAAAACATAATAACTTCCAAATGATAGAGGGGAAAAGCGCATCATTACGCATACTCCAAATGCTCCAAATTGGGTTGAATGTAGAACTTGATCTTAATTTAGCGAATAAAAGGTGAGTCACTAAGAAAATTTGTCCCCACAGCATCACTGTATATCGTGGCTTTAAATGTTTGTCGTCTCTTTGGTGTCAAAATCACAAAATAAAATACGCACAAATTCCACCCCTTTCTTTAATGCTTCGTGTCCGAAAATATAAAACTGCTTTTTGTGCAACCAACAGCAGAGAAAGTAGGACACAATAGCCGAGAGAGGGCGCTCTAAAGCTTTGCGAGGCATATTCAACTTCAATTAAAACATTTAGAAACAGTCATACAGAGGTTCATAAAAGTAAAGCAGGAATAAATATTGACCTTACGACAAAAATCAGTGAAACTAATGTCAAACATTTTACACATTTGAACAGAAACAAATATTTTTTGATTAAAATCACAACATTAAAAGCCTGGATAAAGGGATCTGTCTCTTAACTGCTTAAAATAAGCCTTTTAAAAAAACTGAAATCATTTTCAGGAAGCTTTTTTATACTTACAATATGTCCACCGTACACATGCAGGCCTGCATTAGGCGCATAATCAATATCTATTGCAGGTTTGGACTGGCGTTTAAATGCAGAATAATAATAATGATAATAATGACACAGTTTAAATGATACCTTGATATTTGTGTGCAAAAAAAACAAAAAACAAAGCAACACAGTCCTGTATAATCTGACATTATCAGTCAATAAGTGCATTTTCTGACATTACAGTGAGCGCAAAGATCAGACTTTATTCAAATACAAAAACGCAGTGGTGTTCTCGGGTGTTTTGGTGTAAAATGATAGACAGCTGTATTTGAGCTCAGGCGATAAATTCCTTGAAAGCATCTCAGTAAAATGTTTCATGAGTTGGAGTGGAATATACACGTTGGAGGATGTGCGTAAAGAAAAGCACAGCAAGGAGGAGCGCCAAACATTCCTTTTATGGCTCTTTTTGACTCGGCCAAAATACAATAAGATTAGTTTATAATGAAGCTTTTCATAAGAAACTGTTCTTTTCACTCAGTGCAGGTGTACAATTGGGGCTGGGGGGAGGGGGAGCCTGAGGAGTCTCACGCCTAGGTGCGAGGAGATTATTCAAATAGGGCCCAAGGCGTAGAAGTAGGGATTGGAGGCTTGCCTAGCGCACAGAGCTATATCACAGCGTTAACAGGCAGCACGGAGCGTCATTTCAACTCCAGTCACTGACAGACGCATCTCACGGCTGCCTTCATAAGACACACATGCGCCAGTCCTCGACGAAGGGACACACCGACGACCCACATACACTCAGTGGTCCCCAGTCACCTGCTATTAGAGACACTTTCGGTTTTTCCTCTGCTGGGAGACGCTTTGTAAAAGTCCTCCATGATGCTCGGAGCAGTTAAAATGGAAGGACACGAACACACCGACTGGAGCACCTACTACGGAGAGCCCGAGGTGGGTACCTTAAATATATATTTTTTTCCGTCTAAAGCCGATCCCATTTTATACAACTCAATATTAGCCCTGAGATAATATTAACTTTGTGATCAAATATTGACTTGAGGCGCCTCCAAATCCTCCCCCATCTCCACGCAGCGCACTATCCTAACAAAGTTGCTTGACATATAGGGGGAAACTTTTAACTCGGATGATAATTTCATAAATCTTTACGTATCTTTACTTAATCACATTATTTTTTTGTCTTGTTTCTCCTCTACAAACACCTGAGCTGTTTGATTTTGAGGAGATGGATTCAAATATTTGTGCTGCAGTCGCTCTTTCGTGTGAGAGCACAGCCATAAAAAGTGTCAGCGGCGGCACTGTACATTTTTGACGGGTTGTTGATCTAAATTTCCTCGCCATAGCAGTGACACTCGATCTACTGTCAATCAGATTAAACATTTTATTTTAATTTAGAGCATTTTACTCTAGTGCTGGAGAAAATGAGTCCGCTGAGGAGAAAAAAACATACTTGTGCGTATTTAAATGGAAGTAGCCGAATTGTAATCCGCTCTGAATTTATGTAGTTATTTAATATTTTTAAATATCTAAATAAATACAAACTCTGTGTTAGTTTTTACAGCTGATTTAGTTCTTCGCTGTCACTCTTTGTGCCATCTCACTGATGATCGCCTCTCTCCCCTCTGACAGTGTTACACCTCGGTTGGCAACATGAACACGGGCCTGGGAATGAACTCTATGAACACCTACATGAGCATGTCCGGCATGAACACCACCGCCAACATGACGGCCAACTCCATGAACATGTCATACGTCAACACGGGTATGAGCCCCTCCATGACCGGCATGTCACCGGGCACCGGGGCTATGAACGGCATGGGTGCAGCAGGCATGACGGCCATGAGCGCAGCGCTGAGCCCCAGTATGAGCCCCATGACGGCGCAGCCTGCGTCCATGAACGCGCTGACATCCTACACCAACATGAACGCCATGAGCCCCATCTACGGACAGTCCAACATCAACAGGTCCAGAGACCCCAAGACCTACCGCAGGAGCTACACGCACGCCAAACCGCCATACTCCTACATCTCCCTCATCACCATGGCGATCCAGCAGTCCCCCAGCAAGATGCTGACTCTGGCCGAGATCTACCAGTGGATAATGGACCTCTTCCCTTTTTACCGGCAGAACCAGCAGCGTTGGCAGAACTCCATTCGCCACTCTCTTTCCTTCAATGACTGTTTCCTCAAAGTACCCAGGTCTCCGGATAAACCCGGCAAAGGTTCCTTTTGGACTCTTCACCCGGACTCCGGAAACATGTTTGAGAACGGCTGCTACCTGCGGAGGCAGAAGCGCTTCAAGTGCGATAAGAAGACCATGAAGGATTCCGGCCGTAAAGGCGGGGACGGCGGCTCCTCCAACAGCAGCTCCGAAAGCTGCAACGGCAACGAGTCCCCGCACTCCAACTCGTCCTCCGGGGAGCACAAAAGATCCCTGTCGGACATGAAGCCGGGCCAGGCCTTGAGCCCGGAGCACACCGCCGCCTCCCCGGTGTCGCAGGGGCAGCACCTCATGTCTCAGCATCACTCAGTCCTGGCGCACGAAGCGCACCTGAAGCCGGAGCACCACTACTCCTTCAATCACCCGTTCTCCATAAATAACCTCATGTCCTCGGAACAGCAGCATCACAAAATGGACCTAAAGACTTATGAGCAGGTGATGCATTACTCCGGCTACGGCTCCCCCATGGCCGGGGCGCTTTCCATGGGCTCCATGGCGGGTAAAGCCGGTCTGGATTCTTCCTCCATACCTGACACGACTTACTACCAAGGCGTGTATTCCCGGCCGATTATGAACTCTTCATAAATGAACTCTTTCCCCTCCACTCTCCGTGGACTCTCTTCCCCTGAAATTTGTACATTTGTAAAAAAAAATATAGAGTTTGTGTACAATATGTATTTCAGATATTTTTGACGTTTGCCACCGTTTTAGTTGTCGAGTTTGTTAGTAGTCTAATTATTTTGAGAGGATGTTGATAATGATATTGATAATAATAATGATAATAATAATAATAAAAGTAACGATAATGTGACGAGATCTGTTCAGAAGTCGGCTTCAGGAATGGACCCAAAGACCAACAATAACTTGCTGTAAAATATTCCACATCTGCATCCCTGGATTCCTAAATGCATTTAAATGCCTCACAGGATTTCTTCAATCATTTGTGTAATTCTATTTATGGCTTGTATATGTGTATTCTTGTAGTGACAAGAACAGAATCTATATTAAAGTGTTATTGGTTTTGTTTTCTGAAAATCAAGGTGTTGTATTATTATTATTATTATTATTATTATTATTATTATTATTATGGTAAAGTATTCATCTAATCGAGGTTGTCTTTATATTTTTTCTAATAAGTTTACGGTTTTCTTCTAGATGAAAGTAAATGAGTTTAGCATTGGAGAATAACACTGTGGGAGAAAATATATTCAAAATTAAGTAAAAGACATTAGATTTTCAGGTAAATTTGCCTAAACAGAGTACAAGGTTTTATTATCATTTGCACAGAGGGAGACGTGCAAAAACAAGGGACTACTTTTTTCCTTAAATTCTGACTCACACATTGTTTTGCAATTCAATAACAGGATCACGTCAATGGAGAAATTCCCCGTCCCCGCATGTGTCACATCGATTATTTGATTTGATTTAAACTCTAAAAATGATCTTCATGCCCGCGTGCTGATTCTATGAGGCGCATGTTTTCAGCAGGGATTAATAGCTTTGCTGAACAATATTGTGCACAATGCTCTCGATTTGTCAGCGGGAACATGCAAACAAAACACACACACACTTATTAATCCCAAACACAAACTGGCATATTAATGGAGGAAATATCAGATGAATTAGCAGTGGTTTCATATTTTGGGGAATAAAGGGATGAAGAGGACAACTTTGGAGATGAGTAACTAAGACTAACTGCAATAAGAAAAAAAGGCAGCAAATAAAAGTATGCATACTTTTTTTTAAATTGTCTTCATGCTCTCTCTGCAAACAATCCCTACATTTGTCACATTTCCACATTTATCACAGAAGTCAGCTGCTGCATCTCAGCGCGCAGGGAGATTTGGCCCAATAATAATTAATGCATTAAATCAGCCATTTAAATTCCTCCGCACACAGTCGAACACATTTTGATTCCACCCTATCCTGCACTGTCACTCAAACACCGTGCCTGCCTGCCACTCACCCAGGTTGAGCTCCCTTTACGCACAGACAGCACACACACACTCTCTCTCTCGCTCACACAGCAAAGTTTAGATTAGTGAATAAGATTAAGTGTCATTGTCACATAAAACAGCCTCCCGCGGAGCAGGAGAATAGTTGGGAGAAAAGGGGGCTGATTTGGAAACAGAGCCGCCTGAATGTGATGCTTTAACTTCTCTCCCCTCAATCTGGGGGACCATTGTCTACCTCCTATTTTAAAGTAGTTAGACCCTCCCCTCTTGTTAGATAAGATAGGCTAGTAGTCTTCCAAATGAATCGAGTCCCCCCCCCTCCAAAACCAAAACCTCCTCCTGCCTGCATATACTCCTTCCCTGCTGAGCTCAAATCCAAGGCCAGGGGACGTTTCTGCTCCCCTCAGAACCAAACGTTATCCCTTCGCCTTCTGAACACGTAGGGCCTAAAGTGTGCGTTTATTCTCCAGACCCTCTTTACAGATCGTACTTTAAACAGCGTGATCTGCGAATAAACAAAGGCAGTAAACAATAGAGTGGAGGCTATGCCCACATATAGGGAGAGTACACACACAAACCAAATTGCACAAGTGTAAACTTTGAATAGGACGCTGCAGCTCTGTAAATTTACACAGACATTAAATTTCGTTCTATTCATTTTAGACATATAATGCTAAGCTGATTTTTTTTATAGCACACTGATCGATATCTCTGTAAAATAATCATTTTTTTAACTAGCGGGGCAGTGAAATCTTTGCTTTGTGCTAAAGTCAACAGTGACAGAGTTTGAGCTCAAATAAATGCCGTGATGTCTGGAGCCCTTTGCAGAAGGCAGAAGGCGAGCTTCTACAATGGGCTCCTGTGCGGCTTGCCAACAACATGCTCCGGCTATTTTGCACAGGTATGAAGCTATTCTTTTTTAAAACTCTCTGCTTTTGAAAAAAATATCTTTATTCTTTATTAGAGAGAGAGGGAGGGGGGGTTGATCGTCCTGCCCGTGCATGAGGAGGGGTGATGTTGGTGTTGGTGCTTGTAGTGGCAGAGGCTGATATTCATGAGAAAGGAGACGTATTGGATTTCGTGACAGGGTGGTGCAAAGCTGAGGGGATCTGCAGGATGTGTGATGGAGGCTGCTGCAAGTTTCTGTGTCTTTGAATTTTGTGATGGAGGGAGATCCCGCTGCACTGCAAAATCAGAATAAAAGTCACTGAGAGGATTTAGCGGAACTGCTGGTGCAGTTTTAGAAGTGATATATAAAAATGTGGAGAGGATGAGGAGAGGATGGGAGGCTGATGGTCTCTAAAATCATTTAACAGGCACGAGATCTTAATAAAATTGAAAGTGAATTTTCGGGAAGAGTAGATGTTTATTTTGCACACCAAGACAAATGAAAGTGGGTCGAAAATACTTGCGCAGAGGAATACGAAATTCGATGGAGGTAATATTTTGGAAGGGTCTATTTTTTGAAGTGCGCAACTGATGGAGATACATTTTCCGAGGTTTGCTTCTGCACGGATGTGTATCATTGTGCTTAATAAAATATAATAGCAACAAAATATATATATATATATATATATATATATATATATATATATATATAGTTGTTAAGTAATGGTTGTTGAGACGAGCTTGTGGTAAATTAAGGTTTTAAAATATTATAGCAGTTAATACAAAAAATGACGACGACGACAACAACAACAACAACAACAACAATAATAATAATAATAATAATAATAATAATAATAATAATAATAATAATAATAATAATAATAATAATAAATAAAAAATAGTAATATCCTCATAATAATTATAATAATAATAATGAATGGAGAATTTTCTGAATTTAAAGGACCTCTTTTTTGATCTTAACCAGATGGATGGAGAGCTCTCCAAATTATCCATCAGCCAACATTAAACACTTGCACCCCGGCGCGGCTCTGATCCGGTCCTTTGTAGGCGGGATAACCCGAGTCAAGCCCTCTACAGCGCGCTCAGATGGGAATGGCCTTTTGGAGCTTGGCCGGTTCAAAGGTAAGCAACCTCAATCTGTACTGGGGGCCACATCTCTGCACTTTCTCCTCCTAACTTGGTGCGCAGGCTTTCCATGAGGGAGGAAGGAAGAAACCATCACAGACAGACACATCTGTTGTTATAGCAACCGGATAAAAGAAGGTCCAGCCTGTTGATCTTTTCTACCCTCCTAACCTGATTTCTCGACATTTTTCTTGTGGTTGTATTTGCATATTTCTTCATTAAGGCCTGGAATCAGACCTCCTCAGTCAAAGAGACACAAAGCTTCTTGACGCCTCTGAGCAACCAGTCTGACCCTGACTGCAGACAATAGTTGGAATCTCTGCAATCAAACATTAATACAACTTTAATGGGATGGCACATGTAAAAGCAGAGCATGTATCAAACAATATTTGAATTTGGCACAGGTGCAAAAAGAGTTTGCTGCACCTCGGGGTCTTATGTTAAAAATGTAGTGGGTTTTAATTTAACAATAGTTCATTTACTCTATCCTCTGTCATGTCTCTGAGAGTTGCAGAGCTCTTCAGTGAGATTATTTTGTCTCTAGAGTGGTGCATGTGATTGCTGAGTCGAATTTGGGCCTCGATTTTTGTGGAGTGAACCTACATCCTGCAAGCCAAACGCGCAACCACGCACGGGCGTTAACTGAACATAACAGGGCATGCTTTTTTAGTAATGATTTTATTCCTGAAATACGGAAATAATATCTATCTTAAAAATGGGGAAATTTCACACGGAATTTCCAGAATGGGGATGAGCTGCTGGATAAGGCATGTCTGCGTCTTTGTCTTAGGATTGCTTCACTGGGCCTCTCAGAGCTCTTCATCAATCAGCGCTGCAGCTTTTATATCTGCGCATTAATCGGGTGTGGAGTTATTTCGTGGGGTAAGATGGTGTAAGCACGCCTGCCGCACCTTTGGGCTCCGCGCTGCAGCCCGCGGACTGGAACACCCAAGTAGATCTGTCTCCATGGTGACGGCGGGACACCGGTCCAACAAGCTGTAATTCTGTCTCAGCCTTTTGCAGGGGAGGGACCGTCACCAGCCCGACTTAACTCCTCTTTCACCAGAAATACTCCTAATCCCATATCTTAGCAGGGCTAACTGCCGTCCCTCAGTATATTAAAAGACCACAAAGTCAAAAGTCAAAACTCAAAGCCACCCATGGTTTCTCTGCGGGCGGCCTGCATGGTCCGGCCCGGTCCGGCCCGACCTGACGCTCACTCAGTGCGAGAACCTGCAGCTCCACCGTGCGCCTGTCCGAGTCTCTCCATACATCATACAACAAACTGTTCATTAAAATATTATCATTATGAGGCCTATACTGAAAAAGGTGTGCATTAGGTGGAATAGTTTTTATTATCCTTTATTACCTTCCAAATCCAGACACCAAGTGAGTTATTGCCAAAAAGTGAAATTTGATGTGGATTAAATATGGATAAAATCGTTTGTCAACCTGACTATACGATGGTGTTTCCTAACTGAATTGAGCGACTGTTCTGTTCACGGTAGAAAAAAAAGAGAGAGAGATGTAAATAAAATGTAGTTATCAGTAGGTCTATCAAAACAGCAAACATATTATTAGGAATTGCGCATCAAAACTGTCAAAACAAATCCTGTGAATTCAGCTCCGATCTTAATTTGTACATGAAATGGAGAGGTGCAAAATAATTATCCCACTGGTAGTTATTATTTATTACATTTGTAAATGTTTAAATGGTGCAACGGAATAAATAAAACAAATAAATAATGCAGTCAAATTGACAAAAAAAAAATGCTAATTAAAAATAAATACCGGGGCTAAATGATGCACTTTAAACTCATTCTTGTCCTCAGGGTTTTTGTCGACATAGTTTTAAGATGTATGATCCAAAAGCCCTTAAATTCAGAGCTTGTGTAGTTTATTTTTCTGTCCAGATTTTTTTTTTCAAAATTGTATCTTATCATGATATGCAATTAGAAACTAAGACATACGAAAAATCTGCATTATGTGGAATGTAAAATCACTCTATAAGCACATTCAGGAGCTCAAATTGAGCTTTTGCACCGTGAAGGCCTTCATATTCTAAAAGTGATGTTTGGATGACTTTTGGAGGTCAATCTAAGATTTTCAACATTGATGCATTAAAAAAATGTTACCAAGTTGTAAATATTGAAATGACTGCAGTAATGATTCGGAATGGCGTGCAGAAAGGGTGGTTAATGTAAGTTTGTTCCTTTAATCCTCTTTTAAATTAAACAAGGAATTAAGGTATGTGTAAAATTCCCATACTTCTTGCCATGTCTTATTTAGTCCCCTGCTGTTCACAGTGCCAAAAAAAGAGACTCTCTGACTTCCTCTTTTCTTTAAGTTAGATACATGCCACTTCTGATTTTCTATCAACTAAAACATACATTAGACATTAGATAACTCTTTACTTTGAAATAAGTTCAAGTCTCCCAGTAGGTGTGACTGTGAATGCCATTATTTTGTAGGCTTTGCTGTATGAGGGTCATTCTGAGGTTCTGTTTTGATGGAAAGAAGAGGTGTCTGTGTTTGAGAGGGAGAGTGGCAGAAATTGCCGGACGGACGGACAGGGTGAGAATGCGGCCGCAGACTGTGATGTGTCCGCACTGCTCTGTCATGAGTGTGTGACATTCCAGTGTAAGACTCCTTCATGTCCTGAGAGAGAGAGAGAGAGAGAGAGAGAGAGAGAGAGAGAGAGAGAGAGAGAGAGGTCCACTAACAATGCCCATTGAGTGCTGTGAGGCAGCAGCTGGTGGGACATGCAGCAAACCCAAAAGCAGTCCACCCACCACCCAGACCAGGACAGGGTGCCTCTCACCACCCTTCTGCTTTTATATGCCCGAGGCGGATGGATGGCCACTGTTTATCATTGTGAAGTATTGCAACATCAGTCTGACAGAAGGAAGAGGAGAGGACCCCCCCATCCCACCAAACCAGTCAAGATCTTGATTGGCATAAAGGGTGATGAAGATTTTGTAAATATGTGGAAGAAGATCTTTCCATCTTGTGTTAGTTTGAGGGAGATAAAACTGAGATGACAGGCAGAGGCCTTTTGTTTCTCAGGAGTGCTGAAGTGAGGCTCAGCCACACACTGGAGGAGGGGATTAGGTCCTTGAGGAGAGAGCGTACAGAAAACCCCCGCCATGAAAGTTAAAAGATGTGTGATCAACCAGGCAGAAACATATTGTATTGAATAGAGATTAAAGAAGCTCCAAATATGAGGTTTGGTTTTGCATGAGTTGACTCCTGGAAACATTGGTGTGCATGCATGCTCTCATGCTTCTAGCCTCTGATTCTGCAGGTTTGTCCCCACGGGTGTCATGCCTGTATTTGAGATTAAACCTTGTTGGCAAAGCGACCATAAAAAGGATATGTCAGTTGTGCTAAAGGGATGTCTGTCTGGCTGTGATTGATCTGCCAAGGTTCCTGTATTCCCCTCGAGACCGGACACCTTCAGGTTTTAGATTCAGCAGTTGCCAGTTCTGATGGATATCAGCTTTGGAAAAGAACCACAATATTTCCCATTTCTGACCCATTTACACCCTGTGTGGCACATCCAGCAGCACATGGCCATAACATGGAAGCCAACATACAGCAATCATCTCCCCACTTCCCCCCCTTAGCTCCAGTTCCAGGAAGTGAAAGCTGAGTCTTGCCAGCCAATCACAGCGAAGGACACCCAACTCATTAAAAGTTAATGAAACCTATAAACGTGGTGCGCCAGCGATTCATTTAAACCCCCAATCCAATCTCCTCTCCCAGCAAAGGCAAACAAGCCCGTGTGCCCCCAGTGCCGTCCTCGGAATAACAAACCACGGAATATTTTGTCCTGCATATGTTCTCCCATGCAGACATGTGCACTGTGATAGGCTCTTACAATGGGACTTGTCCAATTTAGAGAATGGCAGGATGGTGAATTCTGTAATCTGTGTCTGAGTTGAATTTAATGCCTTTACTTTACACCTCTCAGCTTGTCCGAAATGCTGGCGATAGATGCCATTTCAACATTCATGAGAATCAATGACATTCAAATAATGTCCTCATTTTAATACCAGGAGTGGGAGACGAATCTGCGTCGAAAAAAACCCTCAAATCTTCACAGTCAGAACTGTTCTTGGCCTGGTCTGGATAAACTTCTCTCTCTGTTCATTTCAGGACACTGTCACCTAACAGCATTACAGCTCTCAATTTGATAAGGACTCATCAGAGGCAATAAATCCCCACCTTATAAGTGTCCAAATCTAAAGTGCAGGACAATATCCCCCCTTGTCTATGAGACCTCCATTTCAACAGTGCCCCATAGAGCTTCCCTTGGGGGAATTCAAATTAAATTCCCCCCATGTCTAGTGCCACTGTCAGCCTGCTAATGAATTCCCATACCCTGACTCGAATCAAATTAATCCCCAATTTAATCCCGTATAAATGGCTGGGTTATTTATCATGGAGAGGCGGATGCTCGGCTGAAGGATTGAAGAAAGCTGGGAGGTGTCTACGGAGCTGTTGAGCAGATTACGGTGAAGGATGAGGCCTGCACGTCTCCCCCTCTGCAGAATAGTCCCCTGATACACACAATTTAACCCTCGCCTGCTTGAAGCTGACAGAAACATCAGCATGCTGTCACTTCATATCCTTTAGATTAAGGAGTTAACGGGCAGATTTATTGGTCAGAGGTGGAATACTCTCATCTTAAAGTGTCCGGCAAGAAGGCGTTGAGTTTAAGGGCCATATTCATTTGTTTGTGAGGGCTTTGGTTACAGTTAAATTAGCAATGAGTTCAGACTTGTTACAACCAAACTCTGTTTAAGGTCAAAGGGCCAGAGACAGTTGCATGGGGATAGCAATGCAAATTTCACACTGACTTCCCTTCACATGCAAAACTTCCCTGTAAAAAAAAAGTGGTTGCATATTTCTGGAAACGTCTCCCCCATCATTGTGTAAACCTGAAGCCCACCACCTTGATTTATTGTCATAAGAGCTGTGAGACAGACAGGTAGTTTGTAAAAGGGCTTTTTCATACAAATAGCACAGTATCATGCGGCATGAGGGGAATTATTGCTAATGCTTTTTTGATGCAAATACGATGGTCCACTACGCTGTCAGATGCATTTGTGTGAAGAAAAGCAAAAGTCCAGATGGTGGCTCCAGGTTCAGTTATTGGTGTGTGGCTCCTAAGACTGGAGCTGTTGGAGAGCCCTCCCCTGTGTTGTTTTTGGCTCATTCATACAGCAGCCAACAGAGAAAGAAAACAAAACATCCAGATACGCCAACATCATTATATTTGCAGCAGTTTTCTTTGTGGAAAAAATGTGTTACTGCAAAGGATAAATAGGATTATTGAGATCGATCAACTGGATTGGAAAGTGTTGAAAGCCAAAAAGTTGTTAACTGTATCAGCTGTTAACATTCACTGTCATAAACCATGACAGACACCAAAATAGTGTCCATTTAGAACTAAGATGGATTAATAGTTTGTGTGTATTTATAGGACTTGTGCAGATCCAAAAGTATTATTTACTGTGTATAGTTCTTAAGTAAGCATAAGTATGGGCCGGATGTGAGGATGACAGACGGTTCTGGAGACACTTTGGCAGTTCATAGGACAGTTTGGAGCCTTTAAAGCTCGGTCCACCAAATGTCTGAACAGCTATGGTTTATTGAGGCATCTGTAAGCTTACTCTTTTTATTGCCAAGCTTGGCTCGTGCGCCCACAGTCCTGGAGAGAGAGAGAAAAAACACACCACACAAAAGTTTGCTGTTTGCCTTCATTCCACCAAATCCTTGACAGCCGTGCTATAGCCCATCACTATTCACACCATTGTGCTGTCACAACAACTAAACACATCATTTGTGTTGCAGAAAGTCATCCTGTATGTATCCAATACCAAATGTTTGGCGAGTGGGAGAGGCGATGGTTGGGGCGGGGGCTGAATAATTTGCTAGGAAACATTTTACTGAACATTTGGTGATAAAAACGCAGGCGTCGGCCCCTAGGCTTAAAGCAATTAATTCAGGATCCTGACATAAACTCTCCAATCCTTTGACAGCTTGGAGCTGAAATAAAAATGCTAGTTCTCCTGGGAACGGCAGGAGATAGCTGGCTCTTTTCTGGACTGTTTGCTCACTGGCCCTGAGAGCAATCTTCCCCAGTCAGAATGAAATGCAAGGACACAAACAATGTACCGGCGAGAGAATGGGAGATGGGGAATGAACAGTTTGGACTATTTGCTCAGCAGAAGGGCAGCCACAATGGCCGGCCGATGGCTTTCCCATGCATCAAGCCTCTTAGTCTTAGGCCTCCCTTTGTTGCCTGGTTTCTTCTTCTCTGGCCAGATAAGAGCCCAGCTGCCCTATACTTTTAATTCCCATTGTAAAACATACTGTATGGTCATTTATCTTTGCACATTCAGCTTTTTTTTCTAATTGGGTGGGGTATCATGTGTGTATCGTTGTTCACCTTTGCATGTGTACTCGTTTAGGGGTTGAATCACACACACTTAACAATAAAAGGCAGTCGGGAGCCAGGGAAGGGGGATAACGGCTGACCCCTCCTCTCTTTTAGAGGAGGCAGGAAAAGTCAAGCACGGACTACGATAAGGATATCCAAGAGATTTAGTGTAATGTTTAATCATTACAAAGCAGTTTGAACCATTTTAATCGACAAACAAATAAGTTCTTAAAAGTTTGATTCGAGATGCGAGAAAACCCTCACTGAGGAGTCTTTTTTTTGAGCGCCCAACAAAGATGTACTTTTCCAGCCAAAGGCAGAAAGCCTCCGAGGGCTCTTGAGGGAGAAATGAGATGCGGTCATTATATGACCTAATGGCAACTCCAGCCAGAGGAGAGGGCAAACAGAGCAAGTGTAGTGGCTCTGGCTGAGAGAGGGATCCATATTGTGCTCTTTTGTTTTGGTTTGTTGGTTTGTGTTTGCATTTATATTGACCAGTTCCCTGCCGAATGTGTATTCGCTCTCAAGACATGTTATGTTGTCTGCGTGGCAGGAAATGGAAGTGAAGCCTGCAGGGAATAAAATAACAATAGTAAATGCATCTGCAACAAACAAACAAACAAACAAATAAATATTAAAGGGAAAGGGAAAGATGTGTAATGGGATATCAGAGGGTGAGGGAGTATATTCATGCATGTGTGCAGACACTTGCCCAAACACACACACACGCACACACACCCATCCCCCTCTGTAAAGGTTGTGGTGTCAGGGACCCCCTGGGTGGTCAGACTGAGGATGATTTCAACACAATATAATGTTGTGTAGGAAAAAAAGACATTCACTTTCTTTTTTTCCCTCATTGTCACACACATAAAAACATTTAGAAATACACACATCAGGTATATTTTTCTTTTAAGTTGAAATAAATGTGAAAAAGGGACATCTGGGGTTACAGCTGCTCTTTGAAACACACAGATAGACCCGAGAAGAACGGTTTTTTTCCACCGCAGTGAAAACACAGCTCATGATGATTCCACAATGGTTTATTCTAATGGCTAAGCTCTTAATCTATCAGATCAGATTTCAAAGTGCTGCTAGCTGTGCCAAGACAGGTCCCAGGAAGGAAAACCCTTTTGTTTGGGGCAGAAAATTTCAAATTTAAGACCAGACTTTATTCACAAGAGCCTTAATCACAAAAAAGCTGTGGCCTTTTACGGAAGCAATAACTCAAAGAGCGACATCAAGAAACAGTAAGTGCTTGTTTTCACATCCACCTTTGGTGCACCACCAGTGTTTTGCCAGCATGTGAGACCTCAGGTATGGCAAGATAAATAGCTGTCTTATTTGTGCCTGTGTGAGCCAAGCTCCTTGTGGGGTGGTGCTCTCAGCTTCACGCTCCGCCAACGCTGAAATAAAGCTCTGTTCCAGGCATTTCAACACCGCTTAAGGTTGTCCGTGGCCGTGTAATTTATGAGTTGAGAGGACTTCGTTTTTAAGTTCACTATGACCTACAATCTTCAGCATTCATGGGTGGAGAAAAGAGCCGTGTGAGTCATAGGAAACTTACAACACCCCTCCAATTACCTTAAACAATGGCGGTCTGAGCGATACCTGCAGTGTTCTTCGGTGTGGTTCAGCCTCTAAATGCGATGTGACCCCAAAGTAATAGTAGGATGTAGACACTTTAGCCGGTCAGGTGTTTTGTCACCTGCGGGTCAGTGTCAAGCTGGCAGGAGGTGGTTTGAGCTGCTCGCTTCATGCCCCACAGCTCTCAGTGGGTGGCCGTGTGAACAGACAGACAGACGGACAGACAGACAGACAGACAGAATGACATGCTGACTTGTGCTTGCTGGCACTGGTTGCCTCTTTGGCAACCCACAGCAGAAGAAAAGATTGCCTCTTCAAACGTGACTGTGATTAGGTTTTCTGGCATTTGGATTTAAATGTAGAGTGATAGATTAAGTCCACTTTTGGCATGAGGTTTTTACTTATCTATTTATTTTTTTTGTTTCACTAGAAGCTCTTAGATGAAAACTAAAGGGTTTGAATTGATTTTCAATTAAGAATAAGTTAAAGCAATACACCAGAATTGTTCTCTTAAAGATAATCTTCAACTGCATCACTGTAGATTCTGTGTAATCTTTTGTATTTATTTTTTATGCTAAATAATAGAAAAAATATATTGAAAGAAATCAAATTTCCTACATTGAAACACTAAAAATAACAAACTAACTGATTCAATATGTGATTTATAATTGTGCTGTGTGGAAGAGTTAAACATTTACATGGACATAATCTTGTGTTTACTCTTGGTTACAGTGAGGGGATATATGACTGGATAATTATGTTTTATTGCTAAGCCTCTGCACAAAAGGAAATTAAATCTGACATTATTAGTCTGAAGTTTTATTAGCAGTCCTGCATATTGCTACAACATGAAATTTATTATCAGAGCACTGTAATTTATGTCTGTTAAAACTACAGTAAAAAATGATGAAAAAAATGAATAAAAAAACCTCAAGAGAAAGGTAAAGTCATACAAGTTTAAACCTTAAAATAGTAATGTGTTTTATTTTGAAAGTAGATAAAGCTCTTTATTAAGTTAATTAATAATGCCTCACATTTTGTATTATTAATTAGTTATTAATGGTTTTGTAAATTCCATAGATTGATATCTCAGTAATAATTTTTTTTATCTGCAATGAATTTCAAATTAAACATAAAAGGTTTCCTGAATACACCAAAAATAAAAAAAATCTGATAATACTGCATTTAAAAAACAAACAAACAAACAAACAAACATATCAATGGATTGAAATACATATTTCCTCTCAATTTGGAATCAAAATTAACAATTGAATATTGCAATGAAAAGAACTTTATGCACAAAAAATAAAAATCAGATTTCAGCAGCATTTTTATGAAATTTTAATATTCTTTTTTGTTATGAGCATTATGTTGACTAAAATTACATACACTTTACAGGCAATTTAAAGAGATCATTTATGCATATTTTTTTGTCACATAATGCAGCCGTCAAGATTATTTTTTCAACATGAGTAATGGATTACTGTAAAAATCAAAGACAGAAGTAAATAACAGAAGTGTTTTGGACTTCTCCTTTTAAATGCTGTCTTCCTTTTTGAATCACTCTGAGCAGATCCACTCATCGGATAATTTGAACACTTTCAGGACCTTACACAGCCAGCCATGGTTTTTAGCGTTCCCATTACCTCTCTGCCAATGTGTGAATGTCAACACCCTGTAAACACCTTTGACACACATGCTTGAATGCAATGGGTGAGTTAACTAAACATTCCTGGGTGTTCCTCATAAAGGTCCACCACTCACCCAGCAGACTGCACTGACCCGTCTCCCACACCACAAACTGCACTCATGGACAAGAATTTTTTCCATTCATGCTTTCTTAAATGTATGTTTCCACTATTTGTACAGGTAATAAAAATAACACTAGGTATTAAATATGTTTTGTAGAAATTGCAGTGATATATAGGTCCTTATTGGCCCATTTTCTCCCTCTGTGTGTCTTAAAAAAACCTGCAACAATACTCTATAAGGATTTGGGAATTTGGGAGTATAATTCCAGCCCCGTGCTTATCGCCACACCCAGACTATTTGAGTGTTTTGAGATGCGGCCTCCCTAAGGACGGATCGAAGGCGTCCTAGTAGAACTGCACATCAAATAAATAGGAGGATGGGATTTATATGGAGGCTGAGTCTCTGTCAAATAGGGCTCTGCTGACTGAAGTGATCCCCACGGCCCGAGAGGAAGAGAGGAGGGAGAGGAAGCCTCAGAGGGAGGACGGATAGCTGCAGAAGAGCTACACACACTCACTCCCACAAGCACACACACAACCACACACTCAAACACAGTCAAACACTCACACAATGTCCCTCTCAGTCCTGGGTTGTGACCGGCCCATGGCATTGGCCAGGTATGTCAGCAATGTTTGCCAAGCCATCCATCACCCATGCACCTTCCCTCCTGAAACAGGAACTTTTGTTTGAAGCACACACTTGTTAAGCCCATCCTTTGACTCCCCTCAACCTAATTTATTTCGTTATAGCTGAGAGACACAGGATTTATTAGCAACTATGTTTTGTTCTGTCTTTTTCCTCTTATTGTGGCCTGCTCAGTGCAAACGTGTCGGTGGAAACATGGGTGTGTTGTTGCTGAAGAGAGATTGCGAGCTCTCAGTTTGGGGACACCAATGGGTCCTTATCATATGTGACCAGGGTTAGCAAATAAACACACAAACGGTGAAGTTAAGCTGCATGTAAGGAAAGACAAGATTTATGACAGTATGACACGGTGATGAGGAAATGTTTATTTTTAGTTTGAGTCTCTACAACATGCTTAAGAGAGGATGAAAAGAAGAATTCGTCTTTTCATTTGTTCGAGGAAATGGTTGACTAATTGGGTTTGGGATTAAGTTTATTTTGTGGATGGATTATCTTAAAAAAAATCAGCATTTTAATTTGTGAGAACATTTTAAGGTTTGGATAGATTTCAGGAAGTGCTGTATTACGAAGTTAAAATACACAAAACCGGAGTCATTTAGCCGACTCTTGACCAGCATGTGAACTGTCTGAAAGAAACCTCGGCGCAGGCTGGTTTGTTTGCCAAAGCACCTAAGTTGGAGCCTTACTTTACTCTCTGAAACACACAACCGTCATTTATCTCTCCACTTCTTCTCAGAGCAAGAGAGCAGATATCACTAAAAGTGCCACGTTAATGATTGACTGTCAGCGCTCCCAGCATCCTGCGCTGAGTGGCCACTTTGCTGCTCTTGTGCTCAGTTTCCAGCTGTAAATGTTTGTGATCCCACTCTTCTCTCTGACTCCCATACAGTATTATTAGCTCTGGGGGGTTAGGGTGGGGTCACCACTAACTTTCAATAAAGAACTATTGGCATGCTGAAGTAAAAGGCAGATAAGAGTTTGTCTCCGACCCTTTTAGTGCTTTATAAGAATGTGGCTGTGTAAACCTTATCACTCCACAAGATAAATTTGGGCCAGCTTTGTGAGGACAAGTTTATGCATTGCTTTTTCTCTGGCTCTAAAATCCCACTTTGACAGGCGTGAAATGAGTCCTGGACTTTTCATTGACAGTTCAAGATGGAGAGCAAACTGAGATTAGGCCATGTTAATTAATTGTTGGGTTGGTAAAGTGGCCTCCAGTTCAATGAAAGACTTGTTCTGTTTAGTTGCCGTCCTGCCAATCAGGAACAAAAGTGTAATCATGAATTTGTTGTCCTTGTTCCACACTTTGTGTTCGACGGTTTGAGGATTTCCAGTGTAATTAAACACGATCTTTTTGATTTTTTTTTTTGCACTGAACATAAGTCTTGACACCACTTAAAATAAGCTAATAAAAGTAGAGCAAAATTAAAATGTAAAATGACGTATAAGTGAAATTTCTGATGAGTTGATCAATGTTTTCTCTCCATCTTCCACAGACGCACACAGGGACGAATCTCTCCAGCGATGATGACCTCTACCTTTATCACCCTGCTTCAAGAAACCCGCACACTCTTTCCCGTCGATGTACTTGGCCATATCTGTATCTGACCTGACTGCCATATGTAATATCAAAGCCTCTGTCAGCGTGGAGCTGAATGGGAACAAAAGAGAGGCCTCCATTAATGATTAACTGTTCTAAAAGCCCCGGCTTTTGTATTCCCATGGTGCCCGGGCTATCTGGCCACCATGTGACATGCTCACAGCGTTTTTCGAGCAGATTGGGGGAAAGCTAGTGAGCAAACACAGGTGCTTTGGAGCAGCGTCGCCGACGCTGTCAGGGACAACCACAAACAAGAGCAGCTATGCCTGGCTAAATGAATCCCCACCCCTCCCTACACCATCACCACCTCCACCCCCTCCTTCTCTACTCTCTGTTGCTAGCTAACTTGTTTGCTAGCTCCGTATAGCTTTCTCCCAGCAAAGCCCTTCCTCCTGGAGAGTCCCCACGTCCCCCCTCCACAAGTCCAGCGTTCGCCACGGCTGCGCTCCATGACTTCTCACACCCTCCACGGAAACAAACAAATAAAAGTGAGGACGGCCGAGCACTTCTTTGAGGTGATGGCATTTGCTGTGGTCATGACTAGTGGGAGAGCAAACAAATTAATGGTGTTCCAGTTTTCACTTTCCAAACCAAACTAAATGTCTTTTAGCTCAAGTGGGGCAATTCCACTGACCCTGGTGTCAGACGCTATTTAATGGTTGCACACTCTTGCACTTAAAATGCTGAGAGGAGGCCATAAGAAATTAAACAGGGCCTGAGCACCAGTCTGCATGAACCTGATGTATGAAAATAATTCTGTATTGTATGTGTGTGTTTTAAATACTTTTTATATTTGAGCTGGTAACAATGTGTGACCTAAAACTTTAGCAGGAGGTGTGTGGAGCACTTCACCTTTTCATCCTGGCTGACTGATTGTTCACAGTGACTGGGGCTGCTGTGTCGCTTAACTTCGATAAGACAATCAGATGATAGGATGGCGTTATCTTAACATGGCTTTCCGGCTGGGGGACAAATGAACAGTGTGTGATAACAGGAACAAAAGCTCGGCTCTTATTGGCCGTCTCCTCTGAAGAAAGGAAAAAATTATCAGGAAGGAAAAATCACAAAAGGTGCAGTTTATTTCTTTTTTCAATTTTCTACCTATCCCGGGTCGCAGGGACAGCTTTTTTTCTGATCAAGCAAATATTTATATTGTCTCTTGTTGGCATTTTGCTTTCACATTGTGCAATTACCTGAGCCTGTAAAACAGTTATTATCTCTGGAAAGATGATAAAACAGTTTTAAAACAAACAATTTAAATCAGCGGGGGAGGAAATGAAGTTGTAAAAGTAAAGGAGACTGATGCTGTAGCGAGGGGCGGACTCAAAATATAAACTGTGGACATATTCAAACAACAGAGCTGGAGGGATGGAGAAATATGACTGTGTGAGGGGGAGACTGAAAGATCGAGAATGAAGAAGGTCAAAGTTGCTTTTTCAGAGCCCTGCTTCTGATAAGTAAAACACCACTGCGCCTGGGTATTCTGACTTTTGCAGCCCAATTCTCAGAGTCGGAGAGGAGTGTGTAGACTCAAGGATTCACTCAGAACTCTGTTTGCTTTTTTTTTTGCCAAAGAGTGATTGGAAAAATATCGGTGCCCAGGCAGGAAATGTTAGAAGTTTCTCAGAAGTAAAAAGTCATTGGAGAAACTGCATTAATAAAACATTCAGTTGAAAATGGTCTGTTTCGTTTTTTTATTTTGTAAAGTATTTTGAATTATTTAAATATTTTTTATGAATGTACTTACTAAAGTCAGCTTTTATAAAGTTGAATTTAGATTCTATTAGCATACTTTCAGGGATGGACAGGGTTTAAATGTGAAAAGATGTATTGGGAGAAGCTCATCTTATTCCCTGTTCTGCTGCTGCTTCTCTGCAGGGATTTAGTCTCAGCTAGCCGTGAGCTGAGTCTGATCAGAGGAGTTACAAATCCTCACTTTTAGGGGTCTTACTGTAATTCACAGGCCTGTTTGCCACAGCAAAGTGTGGGGGCCCAACATCTCGAGAGGGATTGGAGACAACATCTTTGTTGGCTCCTCATTGTGTTCTGGTGAAAGTCGTCCAGCCCCATTGTCTGACCAAACTCGGCTCAGACCTCGGCTCAATCAAAGAAAAGTTTTCCAGTAATGAGGTAAGACATGAAAGCCCGGTGAACAAGGCGACATGTTGAAAGGGCCCTTTTGATCTTGCTAGGCACAATGGTCAAATTTGAAAAGAGCAAAGTGTGCTTTAAACAGCAATGCACAGCATTAACCTTGTCTTTTGACAGGCCCACACCTAGAAAGAAGTAATATTCCTCATAATGGAAAATGTAGTTCATGAGTAATGGCTCCTTTGGAGGAAGGGGGGCAAAGTTTCCCCTGTTCTTACTTTTTTCGCTGCCAGTGTTTTATACGTGAAGGTATTTCATGACTATTTTGCAGTACAGAGGCAGCTCTGGTCAAATTGGTGGCCTAAGGATTCAGAGCGTCCCCCACACACCCCACCCGAACAAACAAACACACACATACAAATTTTGGATAACAGCCATCAGACTCAACACAACAGTTTATTTTTCAAACACCCCGCAATAAAGTATACAAGATACCAAGTAAAATGTACATAAAAACAAACAAACCAAAATCCAGAGGTCCTGTCGGGATTTAATGCAAATACAGAATTTGAGTTTCTTGAATTGAAAAACAGAAAAGTGATGGACCAGGATACTCGTTGGGAAAATAGCAGTCCAAACGGAAAATCAGAGGCAATAAACAAGGATATGTATCATGCAACAGAGGTCATGAGACACATAACAAGAGTCACATAAACCCCAAAGGGTAATCCTAAAACACAGAAACTAATGGGGGAAAAAAAAGAAGAGAAGTGTTTTCTCTCTTTTTAATCTCCTTTTCTATTTATTTCATAAAAGTTCTTTCTGTTATAATTACAGATGATTAGTATTATTATTGTGTTATTATTAACATTGATGACATTATTATTATTATTAGTTTGATGATTGTCATAGGCCTCCAGTCGTCTGTATCGCCATCTAAACTATGTTTCTTTGTATTTTATTTTATTTTTAAAATTATTACAAACAGTTTATTTCTATTTTTATATTCAAATATTTTGAATCCATATTAATAGATATAAATTTTTTCAGTTTAATTTATTTTCTGTTTTTTTTTTATTTTCTATACCCCCCCCCCCCCCCCAACTCTCACTGTCCCCTGTGTACTGCATGAATGTCACCTGTCTGTCTTGTTATTTTTTACATTAAAAAATAAAAAAGCTTTTAAAAGAAGAAGAAAAGGAGTAGAAATGCACCGTCCTGTACACAGATTTCTTAACCAGAAACAGAATTCTTCATTCATCCCAGGGGGAATTCAGTGACACACATAAACTTACCAGTAAACTCAGGATGTGTCAAAAAAGAAAAATAAATACTGTTACTTTCATACAAATTCATATCAAGATATACAATAAGCCAGCAACTGCTCGCCAAAGTACTATAGAAATACAGTAAATAGTTACAACACTTTTCTTCCCTTTTCTTTGACTTGTTTTTCACTTTGTCTAAGCAAGTTTGGATTTGCATATGTGACAACTGTACATCCCTAACATGCTAACATCCACACAGTGTTGGAATATGATTGATTGTCTCAGTCATTGTTATTTTATGTATGATTGTTTTTGAATGTGTTGCATACTTACAGTTTCATCCAGTTACAAGTTTATCGTCATTATCACACCGCACTGTAATAAACATGACTTCTAGCTTGTTTGTTTCCTTGCCCTTTTTTGATAGCGCTGTATAAATATACTGTTGTTGTTCCTACAGGTGACACACTATTTTTGCTTGGCATACTGTTTACATTGTTGTTGAAGCAGCTTGTGAATTGTGTTTATTAGACTGAATAGGTGAATTGGTTGGCTTATTGCGTTGCTTGATATATAGATGTATGTAGGTGACTGTACTCACTTTTTTTCTTTTGACATATCCTGAGTATACCGGCATGTTAATGTATGTTATGAAATTTGTGTACAAGAAGGTGTGTGTCTACTTCATCCTTTCTTTCTCCGATAGTTAGTTGTCTGTGTGTCTAGATTACCTTTTATCATACAGCGTTAAATACCTTTTTTAAATTGTCTCTACTATGTTCTGATGAGGAGTCAGCTAAGTCAGAATGTGCAGACATATCCTTGTTTAATAAAGGACTTTTATATTGTACCAATGTGTCTTAGAGTCATTTTAGTTTGGACCACCATTTTTTATTAGTGTTTGTGTTTTCTAATTCAACCCTTTGTCCCTTATGCTTGAGGAGCACCTGAATTCTTCTGCCATTTCTCTGGACCAAGTGCAGCACTGACCTCTATCAACTATTTAGACACACATACAAATAGCTCTAACACCATGCATTAAAAAGGTGCTGTGTTCATGGTACTTCTAGAGTGCATCTGGACAAATAGAGAGAGCAAATTTACCAATTACAGTTCAGGCAAAAATTTAACTGCAGCAGACAATGTAGGACTGCTGCAGCCTGCAAACTGTAACATGCACCAGTAACTTTACATCAGTGCTAACTTATTTATGATATGGATCTCTTAATTTTACAGTTAAGAATGCCCAACAATACAGACAAAGGTAATTATTTGTCCTCACAGATTCTGAATTTCAGCACAGTATCCGAGTTACTGGTAGGAGGATGAGCATTAAGCAGCCAGTGGCAGTAAACCATTTAAAAACAGCAGTTTACCAGATAGAAACAATGGTTAACCAGATGGCAACAGCAATTTAACACAGAGCAGCAAAAAATTAATCCTGAAGCAGCACTTTTTCAATGCCTTTCAAAAGATGACATATCTCCATCACATACAAATTAGATATATTTTCATTTTTCTTTAGTTTCTTTTATTCTGCAACATTAGCAGTGATTTAATAAATGTGGTGTTCTGACGTAAAGTGTCACAATGAGTCCCATTTCTTGAAATTAGTGCCATCAGGAGACCCTACATCACAGATTGATGAGCACAGATCTTCCAAGTCACCCTCCTTGTTTTATGGAGAGTGATTAAAGGTTAATAGTAGAGTGTAAGAGCTGAAGGATTACCCAGCAGCCACCTCTGCCTGTCACAGGTCAGTGCAGGGACGACTCTGTCCCCAGACTCTGTTAACTAAGTGGGCCGGCACTATCTCTGCCCATCAGCCAGCCAGTCTGCCTGCTCCAAGGATAACACTAATAAAACATACCTGTCCATTCAGGAGGCTGGTTTATTGTCGAGAGTAAGCATCTATTAACTTCTGCCGGTTTAGTGAATCATACAACAAAGGCTTTTAAGGAAGCCTTCGAGTTTCGAGACTTTTACAACTGTCTTGTAGTGATTTGATGCAAAAGTTTGCGAGCAGCAGCTGCCAATAGCAGCACTTTCATGGTACCACTACCTACCCATGAAAAATAAAACCAGTGAGCAGGTGTTTGTCTATATTTTCAGAAACCTGCAGCTTTGTTCTGGAAACACAAAAACATACTCCCTCTGTTGCCTGCTGGTGTGTGTTCATTTTCCACATGAAGCTTTAAGACAAAGGTGGTCCACTCAGGTAATGGAGTGCCTCAGAGCACACTCTGTTCAGGTGGAAGACCTCTGTGCTGCCATCTTCACGCCTGAACTGCAGTCAATGACAGACATACAGCTTGACGCCTCAACCCAAGCACAAAAAAACCTGCGTCGACCGTACAGCCAGAAGCTGTTCCAATAACCCTCTATTCACTGAATTGTCTCTCTGCTTCTTTTATGAATACAGCCTGCCTCCCTGGTGTTCAATTACCTGAGTCAATATGGACGTATTGAACCCCAACATATGAGTCAAATCATAAAGTGTATATACAAGAGTAGGGATATTATGACCATCTGAGAGGGGCAGTGAAAATTACCCTGGTGATTTGCAGCCCAGGAAGTAAACAAAGTAGTAATATATGAGAGTCATAACACTCAAATATGGTTCTAGTGAGCAGAACATCTGTCCAGTGCTGCTGCTTTACACCACTTTGACAGGAAGACGATCATAGCATCTTTAAACAGACAATCAAAATACGCTATAAAAATTCATGCCTATGTGCTACGATTATGCCGGCGTTATGCTTGTGTGTGAACGGGTTCATATGAGACCATGTGTGCATTGCGTGCATGTGACAGCTGCTGCTTTTTGGCACACACATGCACACACACCTACATGGAGTGCACACACGCACACTCAGGTAGCAGCTGGGCAGGCTCACCTGTCATATTAATAAAACCAGACAATCCCTTCCATCAGCAGTGGCACAGCAGCAGCAGCAGCAGCAGAGGCTAAAGCAGACAGCGAGAGAGAGACGAAACAAAGGAGTGCAGAGGCGGAGACATGGAGGGCTGAAAATGAGCAGGAAAAAATGAAGAATTGGTAACACTTTCTGTGAAGGCTATATCCACAAATGGTTTAAGAGACCAGTTTACAGGGTGTGCTGTAAACCTTCAGTATGCATAACAAGATCAAACAATGTTTTTTTGAGAGCTGATCACTTATTCTTGAAAACTGGCTTAGAATTGTGCAAGACGACATCACTACAGCTCTCATTTACAACCACTTACCTGGATCTGGGTGTGCCAAGTTATTTTCATCAAAATGAATCACTCAGTTTAAATAGTTTATCACAGATAATTTAATTTTTTAGCAGATTTTGAAATTCCTTTATTTTGTAGTTTGATTCATATTAACAATATAAAGTGACGTGCACCGGTGTCTGACACTGAGAATAAATCAATCTACAGCCTCGGGAACAATGACAGATTTTAGAATTATAGTCTTCAGGCTAATCATGTTAATTCTAACATAAACTGGAATTTAGTTTTCATATGAGTCAATTCAGGTAAATGTAAACAATCTTCCTGTCACTGTGTTGAGTTTCATTCAGTGGACCTCACTCTGCATTTTGTCAGGGTTTATATTAGTGTAATTTCAGTCCATGTTTAACCATTATTTTCTAAGAAGAAGAAAGTTTATGATAGTTTTTTTAAATTTAATCTAATTTTTTTAAAGAAAACTTTGTGAACATGTGGACAGTAGGCACTGAGATTGGACCACCAACCTACAAATGAAGATGATCTACCATTGAGCCATAGCTGCTCTCCAATTTATACAACTCTCCTGTGTGTGTAGCAGTTAATTTACCACACTGTCTTGGTTTAGTCATAAAAAAACAAGTATCTCAACAAATACAATTTTTTCATGGTCAAAATTATGCTGATGCAGAAGAAGTGTTACTTTGGTGTACAGTATTTCTGAGATATTTTTGCTTATTTACTGATATCAAGGGATCCCAAGATAAGCATATGCACTTTTCAGGAGTTCTGCTTTGGATGCTTTCTCTATTTCATACAGGGCCTGTATGCATGGAACTGTTGTTTGCTGTGGCAGCAGCACATACAGCTGATCAGTACTTGAGGACACTCTTTTATACCCCAAGTCTCTTGCAAAGCTGACAGGCCTGCTGTTATTTACAACATCTATAGGGAGCACAATAGTTAACTTTATCTACATCCACAGGTCCGTGGTGATTTGCAGACTCTAAATCTATGCTGGCTCTGACTTAAAGTATTCTTGTGATATTTTAATCCCTATTGACAAACAGTGTATATTACTGTTGACTTGTTATCTGAGCCATCTGGGAGTTTATGACAAAATATACCATTCAAAAGAACAGCAGTGTTGTACTTTTTAATCATGGCAGTTAGGACGCCGCAGCAGCTCAACTATAAAGTGACAGGATGTGTTAGAAGAAAAAAAAAGAAAATACCACAACCTTAATTGCAAACTGATTAATGTTTGATTGCAGAATTTATTTATTAAGGTTGGAAAGTGAGGTAATTATCTTAACAGAGCCAATGAGTTGGTAATTCTGAACAGAACAAACTGATATTAGATTATTGTCTGTAACTGCATAATATGCGGTTCAAATCACTGGCTACACAAAATGATCAAAATCGGCTTATTTCTTAATCACATGCACATCAGGTAAAGGCTTTTAAAATATTCCACACTTATAACAAAGACGGTAACATAAAAAATCATTGAAGGGTCCCTCAGGTCAAAGAGCAAAAAAAGGACATTTATTGTATTTGCATTGCAGAATTTTAATTCTAAATACACTGTTATAATTTGGTGATGAGGATTTTTTAATTATTCAAGCCAAAACAAAAACAAACCAATTTATAATCAAATTTAATGAATTAATAAAAATCACAGCAGAAACTTAAAAAAAAAAAAAAAAATCCTCTTCCAAAATTGGTAAACTTAAGGTCACCCTTTAAGAGAGGCGGAAAATTAATCCTGAGCAATGAGAGACCGCAGAAAATACCAATCCAGTTTTGACTGCACCACTGAGACATTTTTCAATAGCCATATACAAATCTCTGCCTTGTTTTCTCCAGTGTGTTGTTAAAAAAAATTAAGCTTGCTTTATAAGTTAAAATTTAAGTATGCACTTAATTCCCTCCTCAATAGAAATTTCACATAGTATTTAAAGTCTCTGGACAACCAGACGAGAAGACATGCAGTGAAGCCTTTTTGAACTTTCAGACTGTGTGACTATCCGTCTTTTCTGTGCCTTGGTCTGTCTCTGTGTGTTGTTGAAGGTGCATGTTGGTGCTTGCTTGTGTGTGTGTTCTTTTGGCATCAGAAAAAGCCTTGGACAGAGTAAAGAGCGGGCCCAGGTGAGAAGGAAGGAGAAAGAGAAAGAGGAAGAGAGGAGGTGGAAAATGAAAAGCTGGGAAATGGAGGGCTCCTTGAATGCACCACATCTAACAGAAACGGAGGCTGCACTGTGGAGGGAAGACCGTCCTCCTCTTCCATTAACCCCTGGAGTGCTCGGTTGCCCAGGTAAAGCTGACGGCTCTGACAGCTGCTCCATGGGTGGGATCCTGTGTGTTTACTTTTACCTGTAGACTTAGAGGACTCATTCTAAAGCCAATGAAAGCTCTAATGTGTCATAAGTGACAGCCGAATGAAAACACTGTCATGGACCCACAGGATCATGTGAGTACCTGGGGAGCTTAAGCTCAGTTAATTTACATCTATCACTGTAAATACAAATAATTTCTTTAGCCTACATTTGCATATTGGTGTAGCATATGTGCTGCATTGTGGCTGAGTTTTTGGTATCCCAGCAGCCTCAAAATGAGCCCAGTGTGATTAGGCTGATTACCTACATGGGTGAATTGACAAAACGTGTCAGAGGAAAGAAATAGGAAATGCTCCATAAAGAATCTTTTGAGACAGAGTGACAGGACCCTGTGAGTGAGCGCCAATTTATGGATGAAGGCACAAAAAAGAAAGTTCCCAGTGTTCATTGGAGACCAGTGAATCCAAAATGAACTCTTTTTATGAGGCTGACTTCGCCTCCATGATGGCGCTCACACAATGCAGCCAACAAAGGGCGGCAGTAAAGGGGGAGTTGTGACAAGATAGCGGCACAAAGAGAGAATCAACTTTCACGTGGCTGAATGCAGGCAGGAGCCCGGCCCAGCTGTTTTTAATGGCGACGCATTGACAGGAGGGGAGGCTATTTTTAATCACGTGCACTGCTTTCAGGCGCGCACACAAAACCCCCCTTTCACCAAGCTTTGTCAGTAACCTGTGGTGACCTGCATTCAAGGCTGCGTCAGGGTCCCCTGCACAAAAGACGCAGGAGGAGTGGGCTTCTGGTGTGTCCGCAGCAGGATGTCCAGTCTAGAGTCATATAGACCACCTCAGACCTCCTGGGCTTAAAACAATGTGGATAAGTATTTGATAATTGACACAAGAATGTGTACAAAGACATGTTAAGCCATGCTAAGTTTGCTACATCTCAAACTAAATAAATGTCGGTAATGTCTCGGCAAACACACACGCACACACACCCTTACACACACACAAAGAATGTACAAACAAGTCGGAAAACAAAGGGCTCTTGTAACAGGGCTTGGGATCTTGATGAAAAATTCAAACAATATTAAATGGGGAGTGTCAACAGCAGACACACTTCTGCTGAGGGCCCTTCAAACAGCTAGAGCAACTCAGTACACACATTACGCTGCCACAGTTCAACCCCTTAGTGTAATGATGATGGTGGCTTTAACAGGGGCACAGCTTTTAAAACCCCTCTCCTGTAAACACTCTCCTCCAGTCGGGGTAAAACTGAAGTTCCTGGCTAAGCTGTGTTCAGGCATGTTTTTTTTCCCCCTCTAGTTTTACCTGCAAGTGAACGTCACAGGTCACCTGGATTTCCAGCGACCCCCCCTCCTCTTATTCTAGTGACCACTTCATCAGGGAGTCACACTCCTGAAAGATGCAGATTAAGATATCAGTGCTGAAGGATTCCAACTGTCCGCCTTGTTCAGCTTGGAGCTGTAATGCTTCCTGACAGGCAAGCTTTAGAGGCAGGCCCCAGATTCTCACATCCATCAGTGATCCCTCGTCTCAGGGTTAGTTGGAAAAAGAAACAAGTCACGTAAATATGTGGACATCACTGCACACATGAGGAAGGAGTGCACAGACTAAGGATAAAGGACTGCTCTCTTGAAATGTGACACATATGTGTTAGAAAGGTCTACCTGAAGAGGTCTATTTCAGTTCAATCAAATCTTTGCCTTATTCTTTTCAATTTATCAGATATTTAAGAATTCACTTTTTCATATTCACTAAAGCCTGAAAACAGCAGGACACATTAACAATCATTGTAAACATAGCAATTTTAGTTTCAGCTGGGTTATTTTTACATCATTCCACACCTTAAAGCAGGTTTTCTTAATTCATTTGTTTTTTCCACTCTTTAAATACATAAAAAGATAGTCCTTAACACTTTGAGCAGTTTTGAGTATAAACACTATCATCTGTGTCACTTTCTGTAATAAATCAAACAGTACTAATCTCAGTATTTACATTTTACTTACTATTTGCTCCTGGCTTTCGGACATGCATTAAGCTGGACAAACAAACAAATAAAGTCTGTGTGGGATACCAAAAAAGGCAAAGGCGGTTTCTTTGGCAAGAGATGGTTTTGGCTTACACGTCTCAATGTGAGTGCAATAATGTAAACACGGACACATCCTTTATTTAACCAGGTGAAAGCCTTTTAAGCTTAAGATCTCTTTAACTTTTTCTTAGGACTAACTGGCCAAGAGAGGGTGCAGAAAATGATTATGGAAAGGACAGTGTATAGATAGCCAGTGGTTGAGTGAAAAAGAAACCCTGATTCTTGAAGTGGTCTTGTCTTACACTGTTAGGATTCTATATTGCACAACCACTAGCCAACTGTGTACTATACTGCTCATTTCTAAATATACATACAAGCCAACATAGTAACACTTTACTTGATGCCTACCTCTATAACACATTACAAATATATGTATAATGCGTTATAATCACGTTATAGCACTGTATAACTATAGTTATAAACACTCATAAATGATCATAATGCTTTATAGCAATAATCATAACACATTATAAAGCATTTTTTCATGACATACGAGGTCAGGTATTATAATGTGTTATAACTGTTAACAACTCACTGACAATGCCCACATAGATAATGCATTATACATATATTTAATATGTGTTATAATTTGCTTATAAACTTGTATAACTATCATTACAAACACTCATAAATGATCATAAGGCTTTATATAAATGATTATAACACATTATGATACCTGACCTTGTAAGTCATGATAAAATGCTTTATAATGTGTTATTATTATTGCTATAAAGTATTATGATCATTTATGAGTGTTTATAACTATAGTTATACAGTGCCATAATGTGATTATAACGCATTATACATATATTTATGATGCGTTGTAGAGATAGGCGCCAAGTAAAGTGTTACCCTTTTTTTTTTTTCGGTGTAGAAATATTTGCATCGTTACAAATGTTTGCCTCCTGTTAAAAGCTGTTAAGTCAGAATCAGAAAAACAGAAGCAGACATTTTCCACTTATTGTAGCTCTAGCTCCAAAGAGAGTATTTGTGAACATTCACCATAATGCTAATAAAGTTTTATAATCATTAGAGTTACATTTCATGTCATAAACACAGGTTGTTGCAGGACTATATTTTCTAAGTGTGTGCATCTGGCACTGCTGCAGGGCTGGCAGCTCCATCACCACCTGTAGGCAGATGGCAGCTTTGACTGGGAGGAGCTGGACTCGTCGTGGTCAGACACAGGAAGCGGAGACAGCAGGTGTACTGTTATCACGTCCATAGAAAGGTAATGAAGCAACATCACAATCAGCAGGAAATGAAGCAGCACAGCTGAGCGTGATAAGTAACTCTCCAACACCCAAAAACATTTTAATACGTGACCGTGTTAGATCTGACCAGTGATAGAACCTGATTCCCTCTTCAAACTCTGTGTTGTACTAATAGAGGATCGACGATAAGGGAAGATTTCCCAACTTCTGTGCTCTTTTGTTTATGAGCGCTCCATGTAGACTCAAAGTGGTGTGACATTTACGGGCCCCTGCTTTGAAGAGGAGCCAACTGCTCTCCGAGCTGTAAAAGAGCCACCTGCCTCGCCTCACCTGCCCCTCTGTGAAGGATTAGCGAATAAAAACTTGCAAGTTCCAGTGTCAGCTATAGACCCTGCCCAGTCGCTACTGTACAGTGCAGCACACCTTCAAATCCCCCCCAATTTTGGCTCTTGCAACAGACAGAAAAGAGGATATAAAGACGGTAGAGCTGTTTTCTTTCAGTGTCTCCCCTTGGCTAAGTCTGGGGTAAGCCCGCTAATCCTGCCTGGTGTGATGACTCACAACGGGTGTGGCCAATGTGTTCCCAAAGATATCTCCTCCACAGTCTGAATATCAATAGGAATGTTTATGTTGGCTTTGGGAATCATGTTGTGTGGCATTTAATAGTTTCTAATGGTTGCTGAACACTTTTCTTCTGTTTATATTGATGCACAACACAACTAAATCAGACTGTCTGTATAGTTTATAGTGTTTGCCCTGTTTTTGAGATGTGTGCAGTGTTGTATGAGTGTGTGTTTCTGTCATATATATGTGTGTGTGTTTGTGCTTGTGTGAAAGGGAGAGAATTGGGCCAGTGTCCCACCTAATTGTTATTGCGTCTGTGTTTGGCCTGGAGACAGTCGATAGGAATCAGCAGTGAGCCAGGTGGTGTTGGTAGGGGGGCTATGGAGGGCTGTGTCTCCCACTTCCCAGTGTCTTAGTTGTAATGCATCCCTCCACTAACAGGGATCAAGGTATTAGGGATTCAGGTTATTTGTATTGATTTTATGTGCTGTCATGCCAGGCTGGAGGACGCCCTCATATTTGTGGAAATTGCAAATTCCACCTCGGAAATGTCACCAGCGTTTAATCTCTTCCTGAGTGGTCAATACAGGCCCTCACACCGGTCCAACCACGTTTATTAAACAGAGACCAAGCATCCCCTTGGTTGCCATGACAATATATGGCGTGGAATAGGATTGGTCTGGCCAAGAAGGTAACATGGGAGTGAGGAAGTCGAACATTAATAAGTTTTGATGACAAGTGTGTCAATGGTTATGAGATTGAACATGGATCAGCAAAGTTGCCTGCGGATTAAATTCAGCGCTTAGAGGAGTATTCAGAGTTAATAATAAAGTCAGGGGTCATTTTACAAGATCGCAAACTTAACTGCATATCAGGCATATCTGGAAGTTTAAATGCATGTCAAATCTGTTGTAAAAGTAGAATAGTTTTTGGACATTATTGCAAACAGAGAACATCACTACTTGAGTGCACATAATAGGGTCAGTGTCATTATTCCTTGAGGTGTCTTCAAGGTCCGTAAAAGCAAACGGCTTTGTTGCATCTGCCAACATTTGCATGCTATTATCATCTTTGCTTTATCCATGTCATCGCAAATGTTTCTCTTTCTCCCGTGTTTACAGGAATGGCCAAGCCACCCCTCCTCTCTCCATTC